TCAATTTCAAAAGGAATATTTTTGGCTGATGGCAGGGACATTGATTTAATCAAGCAATGATAAGTTCAGGACAATCCCAGGAAGCTTGGAATAGGATGAAGTGTTGGAAAATACAATGGGGGTTACATTGGTTTACTGCTTTAGGCTGACAGACTTCTTTGTCTTTGACCTTCAAGAGGAAATGCACATGTCAGGGGGTTGGGAAGCACCAATACTCACAGCCATTAAGTTACATGGGTTCTTTACACATGCCCTCAGGTCTATGTGACCGCTCATGAGAAGTTCACTTAACAGTCAATATGACCTTTCCAGGTTCCTGCTTTTTGGTCTCTATATAACTGCTATTATAACAAAATATAACAAAAATATTTGTGCTCCCAAATAACGGGGGTATGCAGTGTGTGCTAATAACTTGGAATGGGGAAACAACTAATGTTATGGAGTAACCTTGTCCTACTGTTTTCCAAGGTCCATGTGAATATTAGCACAGTTAAACTACTAACAATAGTACAGATAATCTGTCAGGTTCTTCAGCTAGTTATAGCGCTAAGATCTATCGATCCCCCACCCAGAAAGTACCCTTGATTGAAGCACTTTGGCCCTCCCTATGTTTTGGTCCATGACCCCCACAGTCCACAGCCATTGGTCATGGTGGATGGGGCTGATGGAGGACAGAAACTTCCAAGGTATGCACTACAGAAATATATCTGTTCCCTATTCCTTTCCAAAGGGCTGCATAAATAGGGAATACTTTGTTGTGTGCGTTCAGGTCATTTCCAACCTATGGTGACCCTAAGATGATCCTATCCTGGGATTTTCATAGTGAGATTTGTTCAGAGGGGGTTTGACTTTGCCTTCCTCCGAGGCTGAGAGAGTGTGACTTGCCCAAGGTCATCTAGAAGGTTTCCACAACCAAGCAGGGATTTGAACCGTGGTCTCCAGAGTTATATTCCAACATTCAGACCACTACACCACACTGGCTGGCTGTGGATACTTTACACCATACCATTATTAATGGACAGAGTTGAGTGCCTCAAGGTGCACAGATCATCAGAGCTTTGCAATGGCAACTGGAGGCTCATGTCTCCAGGTTTAGACTGAACGTTAAGATACTGAACGTGGATAGAGTTTCACACATTGGATAATGCTTTTGAAATTCAGACGAAAACTTGGAGGGGATTTCCCACTGACATGGCAGCCACCAGGTGTCACTGGAATTTGGACAAAAATCCTTTTGGGAATGACAACTTCTAGAATTCCCAGTCAACCATGCAAGTATAAGGGAGATTCTGGGACCTGTAGTCCTGAAAAGTAATTTTTCCACTCTAATGGCCACTAACTTCAGTGGCTTATAGAAGTGGATCAATTCATGGAGGACAATCCGTTTTTAACTTTGTCTGTTTTAAATGCTGTAAACCGATTGCCGTGCAGAGGGGTGGGCTATAAATAAAAATTATTATTATTATTATTATTACATCATCATTGTAGCTGAATGGATGCTTCCATGACTGGAGACAGTGCTTTCATATTACACAATTATAGTGCTATAATTCTATTTTAACTGCCATGGCTCCAGCCTATGAAATCCTGAAATTTGCTATTTAGGGAAAGGTCTTTAGAATCCCAGCCAGAGAGCAATAGTGCTTTCCCAGACTACAGGATTTCATAGGATCTTGTCATGGCAGTTCAAGGGAAAGGGTCCAATATAAATAATTGGATATTTTGGACAATGTGCGGAGGGACCATTGCTTTTATTTGTCCTTACTGTATTCAGGGGCTGAATGAGGAATGAGTACAATTTTTTGGATAAGTCTCCAGCATTTGTAAAATTCTTCATAAATGGATGCTCAAGAAAGATCTTGAATCACCTGGCTAAGAAAAAAAGTGAATCAGGTTTATCTACTTGGGGTGGTCAGCCCTTAAAAGTCTGGCTTTGAATCCTAAGTTAATGGTATTGAATCAGAGTTCCCACCTCTTTTTTAAAAAAGATGCTCCTCATCTTTGATAGGTGTGTGGAATACATGCACAGCTTGGTCCTCTCCAGGCTGAGAATAAGTGTGCATGCATATGCATGCACCTGCCTTCAAGCTGGCTGTCGACTTATGGTGATCCCATGAATTTCATAGGGTTTTCATAGGCAAGGAAAAAACAGGTGATTTGCCAAAGCCTTCCTTTCAAAACATTGCCTATAGCACTTGGTATTTGTTGGCAGTCTCTCATCCAACTTTACCTATTAAATATCTCCAGTGTAAATTGTTGAGACAGTAAAGTTGGACTGGGAAACCAGGGTTTGAATCCCAGCTCGGCCATGGATACCCACTGGGTGACCTTGAACAAGTCACACTCTCTCAGTCTCAGAGGATGGCAATGGCAATCCCCCTCTGAAGAAACTTGCCAAGAAAATCCCCTTGACAGGTTCACCTTAAGGTTGCCATAAGAGAAACAACTTGAAGGCACACCACAACAAATGTTGTTGAAATTTTCCTTTAGTTCGTTTTTATAAGAATGTAGCCAGATTTGGAGATTTCTTCATAAACAGGATGGAAAGCAATTGAAAATTAAATTTAAAAACATGAATGTAAGGGAAAATGAAACAGACAGATTCATCCATCCCTGATCCATCATCAGTGAAGTTATATACCTGGGAGAAATAGTCATATACACATCCATATCAACAGTATCAGTTATGAGAATGTAATTAATTTACCTTTTCCTGAATACTCTTTCAAATGCTACAGAAATCTAGAAAATTGGTTTGTCCTTCTCAAGTTCTAAAGAAGAGAAGAGCCATGCTCATGGGGAAGTGAAACAGTGTGAATATCACAGAATTTCCAGAACACAGAAAAAGAACAAGTCAATCACTTTTATTGTATATCATTACAGGTTTTCATAATGCTACCAAAGGGGAGAAAAATTGAACATACTGATCAGATAAACTGATAATGCACACAACTTTGTGTTGTTGCTGAGTGCCTTCAAGTTGTTTCTGATTTACGGCAATCCTAAGGCTCCCCTATCACAGGGTAAGGCTGAGAGTGTGTGACTTGCCTGAGGTCATCTAGTGGGTTTCCATGGCCAAGCAGGGATTTGAACCTTGGTCTGCAGAGTTGTAGTTCAGTGCTCAAACCACTACACCACACTGGCTCTCTGTGGATATTGAGTACACCATACCATTATTAACATACAGAGTTTTCCAGAGTATCCAGAGTCGTAGTCCAAAGCTTAAACCACTACACACCGCTGGCTCCCACACACATTTTAAAACCACTGGGCTAAGATTTTAGTGTTCATTAATTTATTCAATTTATATCCCAGCATTTTTTCTGGCATGGGATACAAGGCAGCTCACATGAAATCAAAAACAAAGTACCATAATATCTATTTAATAGCAAAGTTTTTAAAATCGCCAAATAGAGCTTTGTTTAAAAACACGAAATTACAATTGAAAACACAACAAAACATAGTAAAAAGGTAAAAGTGTATCACACCCCCTTAAAAATATCATAAAATCTGCCTGCCTATATTAAAAGATATTTGACAGAGAGAAGACAGGGAACCAACTTGGGAGCAGCCACTGGGAAAGTGTTCTCCTTCATCCTCACCAAACACAAATCTGTGATGTTGGAGGCACAGAGAAAAAAGTTAAGTCCTTTGCCAGATCCTGGCCACTGCTGCAACACTGTTTTCTTACAAAGGGATGTTGTAAATCAGTAAAGTAAGCTGACTTAAGAGCCAGTGTGACATAGGACGTTATCACACGGGGGCAAATCTGCTGGTTAAT